CGAGAACCAACCTTATATATATGCTTTCATTTGATAACCCATAAAATTATGATAAATTAAGAATCGGTTCATCATGTACTATTTCACATGATTTTTCTCGTCATCTACGGCTTGATTTTAGTGTATTAATTAATATATGTTTGTTTCACAACGTGAATATTTTTTATGTGTTTGTGAAATAAAAAAATGCAACTAATATTCGACATTGTGAACCGTATACATATGAAACAATCACATAATGAGACAAATATATGTTAACAAATATGTTAAATTCTAACCTTAAATAGAAAAAATCATGTGAAACAATACATTACGATAATAGTTCTCACAATTATCACAAAAATAAGAGATTTTAAATAATTAACCCCCTACATACATAAACATTTGTGTGTTATTTTTATTATTAAAAATACTAGATAATATGATAAAAATAAATAGTTATAAATAATAATAAAAAATCTTTAAAAAAAGTAAATCTTAATGATTTGATTCAAAATACCTTGACAATAGACCAAGTTGTCAAAGGTAATCCTTGAAATGTATTATTGTTATAATATAAAGTTGGATAAAGATTAATGGGCGGTTTACCTAAAAACTTAGGAGCCGTTTAGTAAACGCTCACCTGGTAAGCGTTTATCGGGTAATTTTCCTTACCGGATTAACGTGGCAAGGGCCAAGAATCTTACCTGGTAAGAGCGATAATTATGATGGAGAGTCTTACCCGTTAAGTGAGGGTGACAACTCTTACCCGGGTAAGTGTTTACCAGGTAAATTGTTGCATATGATACCGTTTTAATGTACTACAATCTTATCCGATAAAAATTAATTATAATGTTGATTCCTACTGGTAAGCACTTACCGAGTAAGCATTTGGGTAAACGGCCCCTTACTCAGTTAGCACTTACCCATAAAATTCAACACTATCGCTTATTTACCAGACAAGATTTTATTCACTAAAACGCATCGTATGCAACAATTTATCCGGGTAAGCACTAACCATGGTAAGAGTCATCGTCCTCGCTTACCGGGTAAGACTCTCAATTCTTGTCTTCGTTCTTACTAGGTAAGATTCTTAGTCCTTGCCATATTCATCCGGTAAAGTAAAGTGACTTGGTAAGCGCTTACCGGGGTAAGCATTTGATAAACAGCACCTAAACCTGATTCGATAAAGATTTGGTCAATGTGACAAGTTAAGAGCTGAGTCTTTATCTGGATTGATCTTGATATCAGCTTTGGTAAGTTTTGTTTGGTCCAATTTCTTTATTTTGAAAAAATATAATATATAAATTCTAATCGGGAAAAGTACAATAAAAACTAATGGACTTTCTTGTTTAAAATGATTAAGTCCTTATATTTTTTTTTGGAACAAATAAGTCATTAGACATTCCAAAACATGTTAAATAAGTCATTGGACATTCGAAAATATGTTAAATAAGTCCTTGGACAATTTTTAGAACAAATAAGTCCTTGGACATTCCAAACAATGTTAAATAAGTCTTTGGACAATTTTTGGAACAAATAAGTCCTTAAACAATCCAAAACATGTTAAATAACTTCTTGAACTTTTATAAAACATGTTGGATATATTCTTATGACTTGTACAACTAGTTAAAGTGGTAAAATAGTGAAAAAAATCCCCAAAAAAACCCAATGAACATTTATATTTTGAACGATTAAGCCCCTAAATATTCTTTGAACCAAAAAGTATTTAGATCTATAAAATTAAACAAATATAACAAAAAGTACTTACATTTACAAAAAAATAATTACATTTAAAAAAGATTTTTGATAAAGTTTATTTTAATTAAAATTAAAATATATTCTATCAGTGATTTTTCAAATAAAAAATATATAT